ATTACACATCATCAAAATGCTTCTGCTCAGTATGTTCCGTCTATGAGGCGGGGCCAACCAAAGACCTGTGAGGGGCTGTCAGGTTAGATCTTCCTGTAGAGACACTTCAGCCTGCTCCACAGCTCTTGTTCCACTCCAGGAATCTGTCCACCTAAGGAATGTACACCTGGCTCACTTCTGCGGTCTACTGGGGACATGCCTACTTGTGTGGACTCAGGTTATGCCTGCCTCCTGCACATTAGCTTATCCTGGGTGCTTGGGGCACGGATTTTCGGAAACTACCACCTCAAAGAGTTTAACTACATGTGTATTTCTGGTGGTCTTTGGCTTTTTACATTTTATTGTCTGTGGTCCTGAGGATTTAACCCAGGGCCCTTTGCATTGAGTGATAATAGATCTCCAACCCCTGTGTACCTGCTCTTAATTATGAGGCAGTGTCTCGCTAAATTGCACAGGCTGGTTCAAACTTGTGATCCTCCCACCTTAGGTTCTCAGAGTGCTGGGTTACAGGTGTGTATCACACTCGTGGCTAAGGTTTATTTATAAATTAGGCACAATAGTAAGACTAGTAATTAGAACAACATTTTAAACCACCGGTGGTAAAGGTATATATATGATGTCTCTTAAATCTCTCAAAAGGTTACTGGAACACCAACGCAGTGATACACTGAAGGGCTATCTCATGAGCGAGATGGTGACCAACTCGGAGCTTATGGCCTAGAAACATGGCCAAGGAAAGATTTGCACCTCAGGCTTTGCGGAAAGTGGTGGTACAAGAGTCCATCGTGCTCCTCAGAAGGGGGTGATGTTAAAACCTACAAGCTGTTTACTCCTGGAATTTCCTATTTATTATTTTTGGAACAGGTTAACAGTGGGTAACTAAAATCATGGACAGTGAAACCCTGAGTGAGGAGGAACTGCAGTATCTCTATCCCCACGCCCTGTACCAGGGGTGGAACTCACAGCTCCGTGCTCACCAGGCAGGCGTTTATGCTGCTGAGCTAAATCCCGGCCTGCCTGTCCTTTCTTTACGGCTACGGACACTGCAACCTGCTCCAAGTCATATGCTTGTTCTGTGGCGGAAATCCGCCCTGGAATCCAGGTTTGGGTCCGTGGTCTGAACCCCTAATCGCAGCACGCTGCTCCTGCATACACTCAGTGTGGCAGTTCTGCTCTTATTCTAGCTGCCACCTGCACAGGTTTATCCAGTCACCGCTACTGAAAGAGACCTGGGAAATTAGTTTGTGACTGGGGATTGAATCCTGGGCCTCAAACATTCTAGACGAGCGCTGTGCAGAATTCTTTGCTAACCCAGTAAACTACAGTTCAGTATTATTTACATTTGTCTTTGATAACTAAATACTTCAAAATAATTGACACAATCATAACACAAAGTTCTCTAATAATTTTTCCTCTAAACTGTACCAAAAATTTATAGCCGCCATTTTTGAACTATACAACCCAATCTATATTCAGTATTTTCTGTTTTAAATTTGCTGTATTTATTTCATTTGCTGAAGTGGGCAGTATTGGCTTTTACAATCTTTTACTGGGCAACTGGTAAAAAAAGGAACTTAAAATGGGTAAAATTTTACTTGAATTAATTTCATGAATTAGTATGCAAAATTAACTTCTCATAAATGTAACAAAATACAGAATAAAAAACAAACATATCCTTCTTTTCTCCCTCCCACATTTGCTGCCTGCGAACTCTAGGAATTTACTTTTATTCTGTATGGTTTTTATTGAACAAAACTGGAATTAAGATTGCTTTGTTCAGTCATTAGTGTACCACAGCAATACATATGCATCCATGTTTATAGCATGACAGTTTGAAATAGCTAGATCCTGGAAATAACCTAAATGCCCATCGGTTGAGGAGTAAATAAAAAAAGATGTGGTATTTTATACAGTAGAGTACTACTCAGCCAAAAAGGATAAATTGGAGACGTTTATAGTAAAAGGATGTAACTGGAGACCATACTCACAAGTGAAATAAATCAGATATGCATGTGTGAACATTGTATTATCTCACTAGTGTAAAAGAATATATATATGTATACTACGCAAAAACTAGTTAATAGTTATACTACCAACTTCTCTGAGTTCACTGAAGAGAAAGATTTGTGCTGGAACTGTTTGGACAATTGAATGCAGATGTCTTGTGCTCTGGGTGAATGATTTGGGGGTGACAGTGCGCAATGTATGTACCACTGTTACCCAGACTGACCTTTTTTTTTTCTTTTTCTTTTTTATCGGTACCGGGGATTGAACTCACGACTGCCTGCTTGCAAGGCAGGTGCTTATGCCGCTGAGCTAAATCCCCAGCCCCTAGATTGACATGTTTTCAAATTTTGTTTTTTCTCTTTGAAATAAAATGAATTTAGAAAAAAAACCCTTGAGTTTCTAAAATCTTAGGTAAATAATTAAAATAGTAATCATTCAAGGCAGGACCACATAGCAAGATCAAGTTGTCTATAAAATTAAAGACTTTGATAGTTGAAGAAAAGCTTGCCCATATCAACAAATTGCCATGATCTCCTGCCCTTAAACATTTAACTATATATGTTCAAATTCATCAATTATATCTTGATTCAAATTCAGAAATACCTACTTTGCGAGCGTTGTGAATGAAACTGTCCTCTCCAAAACAGCTACCTCTGAGAAAGGCCTTGTTTGTAAGGGGTCTCTGTGCATGTAATCAAGTCAGTGAAGTCCTACAGGGCTGGGGTGGCCCTGCATCCAGTGATGGTGTCTTTATGATGACAAAGACTTGGAGACAAAGATGAACATGGAAATTTATGTGAAGGCAAAAGGAAGAAACTAAAGCATAGTGGAGTTACAATCCTGGGAAGTCAAAGAAGGCTAGCAATTGCTAGAGTGGGCGTAAGAGGCAAGGAACCAATATTCTTTCCTACAAACCCTCAAGGGAAAGAACACCTTGCTGATGCTTTGATCTGGACTTCTGGAGTCACATTCTTACTGTTTTACTTACTCGGTCGGTTGGACTTTGTTGCAGCAGCCCTGGGAAACTCACAGAATGAGTCAAAACACGGAAAAAAAAGCAGGGTTTGGTTTGTTTTTGAGACAGGGTCTCGCTGTATAGTTTAGACTGGCCTTAAACTCACTATGTAGCACAGGTTGACCTTGAATTTGCAACAATCCTCCTGCCTTGGCCTCCTGAATGCTGCAATTACAGGTGTGTGCACACCACACCCAGCATAAAGCAGTTATTTTTTGGTTTTTCAATCTTTTTGACAGATTTTCTCTAAGGGTTTTTCCAACCCTAACTATGGACATTTCTCAAGGATTGGTCCTTTGGTTTTGACTGCTCTGTATTTTCTTATTGAGACTGAATTTGCCATAGCTATCCTCACATTTACCCATCCTGCCTTTTCAATGGCTTTGTGGCATGACATAGCTTGGTTATCATCGAGTATAACTTACATGGACCTGACCTTGCGTAAACCCACATTCCCATTTCTACTGATTTTCATACAGCAGTTACTGCATTTAGTAGAGGCTAAAATGTCATCCATTAAAAGATTACTATTATTTTCTGTACCACTAAGGAAAACAATTGTAAAAGATCACCAAATGTAAGACTCACCTGGATTCCGAGATACTATGAAAAACCGTGACTGAGAATCAATGAATGTAAACAAAGGCATCTCTATAATCAGACTACTGTGATTCCTCCCATCTCCTCAACATGCATATCCAAGATTACTAAGAGGCGCTGATTCCTGCTTTACACAGTCTAGCGATACCTATTTTCTTAGGTATACCCAACTTGTGGCTGTAAGTTGGACAAGCCTGGTTGGTCTGGGCTACACTAGTGAAGAGGAACTGTCTTAGATTGCCTATGTAACATATAATATTATTTATGGATTTAAATGACAAAACTCTTATTTATTTATATATTTAGTCTTTTTGAGATAGGGTCTTGCTATGCAGTTCAGGCTGGCTCTGAGCTCACTTTGTGGCACAGGCTGGTCTCAAACTTGCGACAATCCTTCTGCCTCAGCCTCTCAGGGTGCTGGGATTATTGGCATGCACTACCACACCTGGCTGCAAAACTCATTTAAAAATATCTTTTGGGGCCAGGGTTTAGCTCAGCAGCATAAGCACCTGCTCAGCAAGTGTGAAGTTGTGAGTTCGATCCCTGGTACCAAAAAATGAAGAATTTTTTTTTTTCATTTTAACAGGCATGTCTAACCCACAGGCTACAAGTTGGCTATGCCAGCTGGTACAACTGGTTTCTGAGCCTGTTTCTGCATAATCGCATCGCTTAGGCATCAGTTCTAAGCTCATTTTAAGGTATCTGTGTTTTTTATTCCTTAAGGTTCACCATAGTCACTTATTTACATATGTTTTCCCAATTAGACTGTTAAGTTTTCTGTTGCAGGAATCATGCCTTTTTCTTTTTTTGAGACATGGTCTCGCTATACAGTCCAAGCTGGTTTTGACTCACTATGTAGAGCCCAGGGTGGCCTCAAACTTACAGCAATCTTCCTGCCGCAGCCTCCTGAGTGCTGGGATTATAGGTGTGCACAACTTTTTTGTGTCCTGAGATAGGGTCTATGTAACCCGGGCTGTCTTTGAACTTGGAGCAATTCTCCTGCCTCAGCCTTCCAAGTGCTGGAATTAAAGGTGTGCCCCTCAATGCCTGGGTGTCTTTTTCTTTGTTTCATTAATGTTTTGAATAGGGGAAGTTTTCAATAAATATTTTAATAGTGATTAAAATGCTAACTAGTCTTTAAAAATAATTTTCTTTTGCACTGAAATTAATTCACAACTTGTCCCATCACATACTAATTATTCCCCACAATGTATAAGCTGTAAAAAAAACTGTAGTGGTATTACCTTTCAAAATCCAGTTATGTTTACTTTCTTTACATTTCCTATAAGGCTAACAGCAACTTTTAAAAATCTAGTGAGAACTTTACAAGGTCAAAATTGACTACAGCACCATGAAAAACACAGAAGACAGCGTGTACCTATAGAGGAAGACTGTGGACTAATCAGAAGGTCCTCCTGGACTTGCTCACTTCCTGGTACTGTCTGCTGGTCACTCAGGGAGCTCTGAGACGCACTGACAGGCTGGGATACTTCCTCAGGGGCCTCCTCATCACTTAACCTTTCCACTTTGACTCGGACGTCTTCTTCAGTCCCCAGAGGCAAGGCAGCTTTCGTGCTCTCACAAGTCACACAGTCAGTCACTCTTCTACCTGCCTCGGATGGGCCAGGTAATTCTAAAGTCCGGGTGTTCTCTGCCTGCTTAGCTTTCTCCGGCTGAATCCTTCGATCAATTCCAAAAGGAAAGGTCCAAGGAAAAGCTAAAGAAGAGTCCACTGGTTGGTTTCTGTTTTCTGTGTAGGAAGCTGAAGAGTTCAACACCTGGGGTGAGCTTGTTTGTGTGCTACCCTTTACAGGACTCTCGGGAGACAGAACAATGTAGCTTTTGCGCTTTCTCCGGGATTCTCGACAGACAGGAATGGTTCTTTCCACCACGCTGCATTCTGAAGACACTGGAGAAATGCTTCCATCTCGAGAAGTAAAATTGCAGTTAGAGTTATTTTCTTGTCCAGCATCTAGACTCTTTTCTGGTTGGTTATTGGGGGTATTCCACAAAATACTTGATTTCATGAACTCTGAGCAGGTGCTAGCAACACTAAACATCTGCATGTAGCTGGCTGCAGCCAGGACGTCAATAATATTTTCCGTGTTGATGGACAGGGTGGCTGTGTAAGCATACTCTAACAGAGGGATGAAGCCAGTCACCGTGACATGATGCAGGTCCAGCACACTCTTGTTCTCATCCTCTGCTTGGCCTACAAGCTTGGTGCGAAAGAAATCACTGCAAGCTGCTAGTACCACCTTATGTGCCCGGAAGATCTTATCCTGGACACGGATAGTGATATCACAGAAGTGTCCATCGTTTCGCAGCATATTTAGTTTTCCAAGCATTTCCTGACTGTGGGAAGAGGAGCTATGAGTAAATGTTTTCACACCCATCTTTTCCTTCCTCTTCTCCAGATGCTCTTCAAGGATGTAAATGAATCAGAAATGTCCTAAAAAAAAAATACATAAAATAAGGCATTAAATAACTGTGGCATGGGGGGGAAGGGACGGACACATAGCTCGGTGGCGCAGTGCCTGCCTGGCAAGCACCAAAGTTCTGAATTCAATTACCAGTACAAACATAAAATAAAATAAAAAGTCTGGAAGTTTAAATAGGCAATAAACATGGTTTTCATGAAGCCACCGTGTCAAATAAAAAGACTAAATGATCGTAGTGAGAGAAACTTTAGATATGGACTGTATTAAATAAATTATTCCAACTATTCAACCAGTGGAATCCGTAAACTACTGTTTCAGACAGCGGCAGAGTTTTAAATAAGTCTGTAAATAGTGATGTGCTTGCTGCAGGCCCGACATGCACTATCGTACATGCCGTACGTCTGTCTGTCAAGCTATCTTTGTGAGAAATTATGTTCTTATTTCAGTTTCTAAATGTGAACACATAGTAGGTGATGGCAGCTGAAACGTAGTAAATCCTTTGCGTGTTCTACTCAGGTACATGTATAAGGAAAAGAAAAGTGAGGGGGAAAGGAAAAAAAAATCAAAAAAGGATCACTGGTATTTTATTGGGAAGACAAAAATCCTCCATCTGGGATTCTGCCTTGCTTGGTATCATGACAAAAGGCACAAATCCTGGGGCTGGAGGTTTAGCTCAGCGGCATAAGCACCTGCCTTGCAAGCAGGCAGTCGTGAGTTCGATCCCTGGTACCGATAAAAAGGAAAAAGACAAAACAAAAAACAAAAAACAAAAAAGGCACAAATCCTGTGTTAAGACAGGTAAGTCCACTGAAATAATCTTGGCCATACTTAGCGGAAACAGGATCATTACTTTTTCATGAATTGAAGTGTTGCCTAATTCTAGAATGGAAAATAAAGCAAACTAAGATCATTAAACAAACCCTGCTCCACACGCTCTTCCTAAAGACAATCACGACAAGACTACGCAGCTAGGGTTAGTCTAAGCAGACATCATTTATTGTACCTGGTATTTTTTTCTCATAGGAAAGACCAAAAGGAATTAAAGGGGAGGCCATGTGAAGTACTCTGTTCATTTGCTCAGCAGTTCCCAGGGAACTGGTTTTTGCTTTTGAAGCTGGGCCATCAAGGGTGCTCACTTTGACTGGGGTCATGTGGCTCAAGGAGGACACATGCCTTCAGAGCGAGCGACAGTTATAACCCAGGGACTGTTTGCAGGAATGAAGGTATAAACGCAAGAAGTTAAACAACATACTTGGAAATGTGCAACAGGCTGTTAAAATGAAACCACTTCCATCTTGGTTACTTAGGAGCCCCAAACAACAGAAAATGCACTACATTTTCAAGTAAGGTATGAGGTACCTTGGCAAGGAGGGGGTGGAAAACTGTTCAACAGGAGCTCTCCTATCTTCAATGACCACGGCGTTAGAGATGAGCAGAGGAGCTCTGCTAAGATGAACCAGTGTGCTTTGCGTTCTACCCCACGCCCTCCTACTCTTCTGCACAGACATGACACGTTTTGTTTCAGGTTTATGAGAAATGTGTCATACGTGAAAAAACTCTAAAGGTCACAAGTCTGTTTAAAACACTGGCCAAGACCACAAAGTATGCTTACTGTCTTCTATCAGTACAGACTCTGAAGCCAGAATGCTGGGTTTGCATCTGGTCCTGTCAGTTAGAGCTGTGTGAATTTAAGCAGGTTACTAACTTTCTGTACCTTAATTCCTGCAGTAAAATCAGCATAACAGAACCTACGACACAGAGTTCTGAAGCTTCTATCACCTAAGCCCTGATAGGTGCTCTGAACTTTATGTTGAATTGTCAACATGATCAAGGGAAGCTCCTACCTCAGCTTCTGCCTGTCCTAATTCTGGCAAGCCAGAAATCAGTTGGTTCATAGAAGGAAGGAATGAAAGTGAGAAAACAGAAAACGGAAGCAAACCAAAGCCTACACGTCTACTGGAGGCCTTAGGTGGGAAAACAGGAATGTTTTAAACTCTGGATCCAGTTTATTAATTCTTGAAAACATTGTTCTTATTCTCTGAAAAGTGGTCAGATCTCCAGTGAGCTGGAGAGAGAACACAGGTTTCAGTATAAATTTAAATAGAGCCAGGCACGGTGGCATACACCTGCAACTCCAGCAGTCAGAGGAGTCTGAGGCAGGAGGGTTACTTCAAGTTCGAGGGTAGCCCGGGCTGTACAGTGAGAAAACGGGAGTCATAGAGAGGCCCTGTCTCAAAATAGCAAATGAACAGCAGGAGACAAAAATAAAATGGGTCATGGTAAGTACCTCCTCTAAGTCACTATTTACTCTTATTAATACAGTTATGGTGTGTAGTGCTTACACACATGGTACAAGGTCTAACACAGTGAAAGGTATGGGATGAGAAGATGAAAGTCAGTCTGGGAAAAGCCTTCTATGCCAGGTGTTTATTATGCGTATTTTAAAAAAATAGACAAATATACTTTGGAAATAGTGCAACATCACTTGTGAAGCAAAACTTGGAAAATGGATGAAATTACAATATTCGAAAAAAATCTCGAACAGCATGGAAAGTTCAGAAGCCAGGAAATATAACCTAAATTTTCTGAATTTGATAATGCTGTTTAAAAGCATCTCACTTTTCTCCATGTGCAGCAACTCTGTGTAGTTGTACCCTTAATCTGAACATGTTTAAAATTTTAAAGATTTAATAAGAATTCACGCAGCTTTCACAAGTAATAAAAATGTATTAGTGCCAGGTGTGGTGGTTCATGCCTATAATTCTAGCACTTGGGAGGCTAAGGATCACCATGAGATTGAGGCTAGTTTGGGCTATATACTGAGACCCTATCTCAAAAAACAAAACAAAACAGTTATTAGTGTAAAAAGTTAGAAAGTGATAGAAACACTTTCCTTCACACCTTTTAATTTCAAACAGCTAATGAAATAGTACACATTACATGCTTACAAATGTGGCAATGATTGTTTTAGATGGCCTGAAAATTGAGGTTCTGTTTCAGTCTAAAAAGTTTTTTGACAAATATGATACATAGTTTAGTTGATGGAATTATTTATATAACAGATTTTAGGTCTAAACTGTGATTCAACCATGTACCAGTCAGGAACCAGTCAAGTTATTTTTCTTCTCAAATACTTTGGGTTTTCTCATCTGAAAAACAGGAATCACAGACATTCTTTCAAGACAACCCAGAAAGAATAAATTTGCACAATTCTTGACATAAAACAAGTATTACCTAAATGTTCACTATCCATTCACACTAGAAAAAAGCAGATGAAAATTAAATATAGGGACGAGGGCCCAGCTCAGCAGAAGAGCCCTTGAAGAGCCTGCACAAGGTCCTCAAGTCAATCCCCAGTATACAAAAAACAAAACAAAAACACAAGACCAAGCAGACAGCACAATTCAGAATGTCTACTCATTTCTAATATGGCACAGGGCCTATTTTGTTATAAAGACTGGCTAGTTAAAAATTATCAGAGGACTTGAAACTCAAGTAGCTTAGTTTGCATATAAAGTGACACAGCTGACTAGGTTTTCATTATGCTAAAAGTGAACTGAGATCCTTTTATTTGTACCTTTTATTTTGATTAAACCCAAACAAAGTTAGAAAAGGTTAAGGAGAGGGATCAAATTGCCTTAGGATGCCTCTAAGAAGGGTATCTGAGTGGGAATTTATGCACAAACTTTGCACTAGTTGTTATGCACCAGACCCAGGACCAGGAGCTTTAGATACACTATCTCATGGGGTGTGGGTTCGGCTGGATGATAATATCCTAACTTTACAGAGGAGAAAACAGGCTCAGACAAATCACTCTGTTCCACACTGATACCTATACCTATATCCTGCTAAAGACTTTGGGTATTCCCCCTAGAGTAAGTACTGGGTCAGAACCAAGGGCCTTCCCACTGAGCCACACCTCTGGCCATCTTTAAAAAGTTTTGAAACAGGGTCTTGCTAAGTTGCTCAAAAGTATAATTTTCCTGCCTCAGCTTCCCAAAGTGATAGCATTTTAGGGTGTGCCCTCATGCTCCGTTTAAAGACCTAGGATCTTGTACAATAAATACACGCAGCCACAAAGGAGTAATACAGTCCTATCTACACTCTAAAAACATTCTGGTGGCACTACAGAAGGTAGGTTTTAGAGTAATTATTGTTAACAGTACAAGTGCGTGAACGTCAGCCAAAATGAATCAGTAGCAATGAGGACAAAGAGAATGAAAGAAGTATTTAAGAGGAAACACACCTGGACATGATTTTATATTAAGGGTGGAGTAGGAGAGAACAACGAGAGAACAAAAGCAGAGACTAGAAGAACTGATTTTGACAGAGGCGGTGGAAAAGAATTACTTTGGTTTGGGACACATTGAGTGTGGAATACCTCTGGCAATAATATCTGCGTTCGGATATACATACATTTCTTAATGTGGCCTGGGTTTTTGGGAAGAAGTTAGAGCATGACCTAAAACTGGATTTTACCTAAGTCCTTGTTAATGGGGTGAGTCTGGATGTCCCCCAAAGCCTCATGCAGTCAGGGTGGCGGGCTTCTGAGTTTGCGATTGACTCATGATCCGATGCTGGGGCTCTGGGTGTGAGCGCCATGCCCAAGTGGATGTGGCTTACAATAAGGAACAGAACGAGTCTTTTTTTCTGTGCTCTTCCCCTCTTGCTCTTGTTGCTTGTGCTGTTTTCTGTCCATGACCTGTTGCTCCTCTGCCATGTGCGACCCTGCCTTGGAGCCAGCTGGTTATGGCTTGAAGCCTCCACAAATTGTGAGCTAAATAAACCTTTCCTTCCTTCATTTTGGGCAAGTACTTTGTCTCAGCAATCAGAGAAAAGTGACTAAGACAGACACTGTTAAATCTCATTCTGTTTGTTACAGCTTAAGACATGTAACGACTGTATGGGAAAAAGGAGCAGAAGGGCAGGCTGAGAGAAGCTTCAAGTCGGCAGAGCAAAAGGAATCCATGGAAACATCTTATGGTATCTTAATTTATCTTTTGACCCTGTC